ATGAAAGGAGGCAACTGTTGGCAAACTGCAGAATCGATTTTATTTATTTATTTTTAGTTAAGTAGGCTCCACACCCAATGTGGGGTTTGAACTCACGACCCAGAGATCAAGAGTCACACACCCTACTGACTGAGCTGGCCAGGTGCCCCCGCAGAATTGTTTTTTTTTTTTTTAAGATTTTATTTATTTATTTATTTGTTTATTTGACAGACAGAGATCATAAGTAGGTGAGAGGCAGGCAGAGAGAGAGAGGAGGAAGCAGGCTCCTTGCTGAGCAGAGAGCCCGATGCGGGACTCGATCCCAGCACCCTGGGATCATGACCTGAGCCGAAGGCAGAGGTCTTAACCCACTGAGCCAGCCAGGTGCCCTGCAGAATTGATTTTAAAGCTTGAACAGAAAGCCTGTGAACTCTGACGTCATCTACAAATACCACTGATGGTTACGCTGGTGAGCCCACTGTGGATGCATCTTGCGCTTTGGATATGTTTTCAAAAATATCACCTCCTGAATCTCTAACAGACTCTGAGGTTCACGCAGGGCAAAAACTAGCCCCTGCCAGATGCAGAAGTGGCTTGGCCTGCAGGTGACTTGGCCAACTACCCCACGGAGCCAAAAACACAACAGGAAAAGGGCCTTGTTCCAGCGTAACTACAGGAACTTTTTGTTTCTTTCTTTTTTGTTTCGTTTTACTAAACCCACTCATATTTTATTTTTATTTTTATTTTTTCAAAGATTTTTATTTATATTTGACAGACAGAGATTACAAGTAGGCAGAGAGGCAGGCAGAGAGAGGGGAAGGGAAGCAGGCTCCCGGCTGAGCAGAGAGCCCGACATGGGGCTCGATCCCAGGACTCAGGGATCATGACCTGAGCCGAACGAAGGCAGAGGCTTTAACCCGCTGAGCCACCCAGGTGCCCCAAACCCACTCATATTTTAAAAGGACAAAAAAGAACACCGACATGCTCAAAAGGAAAAGCCGATGGCCCACTTGCTGTCTGATCATCGGTAGCGTCCACGACCAGATTTTGCGCATCTCGGTGTTCTTTATGGTTTCCTGCCTCTGTGACGTGGAGGGTTCATCTGATTTTCACTTCCTTGATACTTTTCACTCATCTGCATGATGGTGAAAGCCCAGCGTGGTCATTCACTGCTGCCTCCTTCATTCTCTTCTCGAACACTTCTCAGAGGTTAACCATATAAATATTTCCAAACTGATTTCCTTATTACCTGAAGTTCTTTGAAGTTCTCAAGGCCTTTCGGGATCTCAAAACCACTTTACCCCCTTCTCATCTCCCCTTGGTTAGTTCAATGGCCATATTCGTCCTCTTTGTTGGCAGCCTTTTATTTTTTTAAAAAGATTTTATTTATTTATTTGACAGAGAGATCGATCACAAGGAGGCAGAGAGGCAGGCAGAGAGAGGAGGAAGCAGGCTCCCCGTGGAGCAGAGTCCCCGATGCGGGGCTCGAACCCAGGACCCTGGGATCATGACCTGAGCCGAAGGCAGAGGCTTTAACCCACTGAGCCACCCAGGAGCCCCTGTTGGCAGCCTTTTAACTCCCTCCCACGGCCACACACTCTGGCTTCTGCTTCTACCGTGTCCACTAGTAACTATAATAATCTGGTTCCCAAAATGTTAAGTCCCCAGCTCCCCTCAAAAATCCATGCCCTTCCAGTCTACACTAGCTCTCCTCTGTTTAAATCATAGCTTCCCCACCTAAGTGCATACCATCTGTTCCCCTAATGCTTCCAACACAAAAAGCCTTTTAACCCTTTCAATTACTTAAGAGTTTATCATGCATCACTTTGTTATGAATATGGAAAAAAAAAAACATAACAAGGAAACTCTGAGGTAGACCTCAGATTTCTAAAAAATTCTCTATTTCCTTTACAAAACTTCCTCAGAAATAGTCTTACCAAAATTCAAGGGGGGGGATCGTTTCCTCATCCCCTCTGTAAATAAAAGTAACAAGTAAGACAGGAGTCCCCTTATTTATTTGGGGGGAAATTATTCTAAGTTGGTGAATTTTTAAAATAGCGTAAGGTCTGAAACAGAGAGCAGAATGTCATCATTATGCATGTGTAGGTGTGCACGTACAGACCTGCACAGACACACACACACACACACACCCCACGAGCAGACACAAGCTTCCTGACGATAAACCCATCATACTAACCATGGAATGTTTTACTCATGAGAACCGGCGGGCGCCCTGCTGGAGGTACCCTACCACCATCTGGTTGGAAGTGGCCATGATCCTCTCCTCTCAGTTCCCCTAAATCTCTAATAATAATGTGTTCACTTGGGTTATATAACTGCTTTCGTAAGCACATTAACTCGTAACAGTTTTGTGATGCCCTTTACAAGCTTTATCTGCAGTGATTCCGAGACATAACCAGGGAACCCCTAGATGTGAACTGTGGAAGAAGCCGAAATTGGGAAAAACGTGTAAAACTCCAGCCCTGGAACGCTAGTCGAGTAGAAGAAAACAAATCAGACAATCAGAGGGAACAGGTCTACCTTTTATATTAAAGAAGCATGATCTCTCTGTGACTTTTTCTTCAATGCAAAAATGTGGACATAAAGGGGCGCCTGGGTGGCTCAGTGGGTTAAAGCCTCTGCCTTCGGCTCAGGTCATGATCCCAGGGTCCTGGGATTGAGCCCCGCATTGGGCTCTCTGCTCAGCGGGGAGCCTGCCTCCCCCTCTCTCTCTGCCTGCCTCTCTGCCTACTTGTGATCTCTCTATCAAATAAATAAATAAAATCTTAAAAAAAATGTGGACATAAGGTTGCAAAGTATGTATATTTCTTATAGTCTCTGTTGGAATTTTCCTAGAGTCTCTCTCTTCCCCTCACCCCCTCTCACACTTAAAACCAGTAAAATATTGTCACACATCAAATTCTGCAGGGCTGAGGCACGAAGACAGGACAGTCTTGTTCTCAATCCTAGCGTCCAGCTGCTTTGAATTAATACCCACTTTTGAATCCCAGGCCCAGGAATGTGCCATTGTTCTGAGCGAGTTTTACTATGGAAAATCTATTTTTGTTTAGTAAAATTGTTATATTTATTTTGCAATGGAACCGAGAAGGAGTCTTTCTCTAAACCTAGGGCTGAGTCAGTTACTCATTACAAATACATTTTTAAAAATATCTTTAAAAGGGCTTTCAAAAACCTCTCTGGAGTAACCAGTAAGTAACGAGATACTTTGAGAGAGTGCATCTCCTAGTCTAAGGCTAAAGGAAGATTGTAAACATCACTCTCTCTCTCTCTGTTTAAGTCAGTCTAAAAATAGTGATTATTATCTTCAAGAGGTACTTCCTTCCCAGGCCACACCATAAGCTGTATCTTACAATTAAATTAAAGTTCTCATTCTAAGAATACAGGACGCTGCATCTTAGAGCAACAAGACTGTAGGGCAGAGGGAAGTTCAGAGGATTTTTTTTTTTAATGAGGCAATCATAGAATTTAGAGAAAATATTCTAAAAAAGTACAGAATGACCACAATTGCCTAAGGCTGTAAATCACAGCCATCTTTGAATGAGATCTAGACCACTTTCACCGTCAATCAGAAAGACTGAATTTAAACTTTAGAATTTCTTTGACAGACCCTTGGGAATCTCCCCCAGATTAGTCCAAACAGGCCCACGTATGTTATTGCTTGGGCATGACTTCACTGACTTTTCACACCCTCCCCCCTCCAAGTCCTGCGGGAAGAAAGCTGGATGACCCAAAAGGTCAGAGTTGCAGTTTCTAAATAAGGAAAACAATAATTTAGAAACTCTATTGCAGCTCCATGCTTCTAAATCCTAATGGGTTTAAAGATAAAAATACTGTAATCCATTTAGTTAGTTAAATTTAGACTATTAGCCCTGGCCAAACTGTGCAGCGACTTCCTGTTCAGTTCAGTGTTATTTTCTCCCTTAATGTTGCAGATATGATGGGAGGAAGCAACGCTCGCTGCTGCCTGTCTCAGCTGTCATGAGCAGAGAGCACAGGCGTCCTAAGAAACATGTCCGCTCTCCAGTGGGGCACATGGTCGATTGGCTGAAGAAAATACACACTCCCGTCTCTTCTCAGGGCTTTTGATCTTTTCACAGAAATGGTCAAATATGCCCTGATTCCATTTATATATTTACTGTAAATAAATAATAAGGTTTATTAATTTTTTGAACATGGCTG